GCGCTCCAGCAGTTTGAACGAGACGCTGCGATAAAGTGGGGGCCGAGGTGACCCGTCCGCCATGGTGGTGGCAGTCACTCCGGGGGGGCTGGCCTCGGGGCCCCGCGGCCACCCCCCCCCCCTGCAGCCCAGCTCCGAGGGCGCGCAGGGGCCGCGGTCCGAGAGCCTGGATCCTGCACCCGCGGCGTGCGGCGGCTGGATAGGAGGGTGCGGAGAACTAAGCAGAGGTTTATCAGTCGAGGATCAAGTTTCTGCGGCTGCGGACAGCAGCGGCTTCATCCTGGGCGGCCCCTCTCGCCCCAGCGGCGACCCCAGGCCCAGCCCTTGCCTCTGCGGGAGCAGACAGGGGCATCGCGGCCCGGCCGGCGAGGGGCCAAGGCTTGCTTCCTGCTCACAAAGTCCGCCTGCAAAGCCGGGCGGCGGGCCTGCCTCTTCCCCCCACCTCCTCAAGCTCCCGCTCCAGCTCCCTCTCCCTCCCCCTAGACTGCTCGCTCTCTGCCCCCTTTTGTTACAAATAAACTTTGAGGCAGAGGAAAGGGGGCGGGGGGCGGGGCCTGGCGCCTAAAAGAGGGGGTGGTCTCTGGGAGCGCGCGCGGCTGGGAACACAGTAGGGGGAGGGGAATCGGGGAGGAGCCGAAGAAGAAACGAGGTGCTTGAACATTTGTAGACTTAAACGACCCTCTAGAGGATTCCCTCGGGAAAGCTGCGGGCTGATCCTCCCCGAGGACTCGTTCGGATACACGGGAGCTCAGAGAGTGGACAACTCCGCAGAACGCAGCACCGCGGGTCAACCTCTTTCACGGGGAACCTCTGCCGGAGGGGCTCCAATATGGCAACCCAAGATGCACAGCCTCTAGTACACACCGATACTCAGGTACACGCAGAAACTCTTCTGGCCGGAAAAGAGGTGGGACCCAGGGTGACGTGGGCGGGGCAGGCCCTCCCGAGCGCTCCAGGCGCTCCACCTTGCTCAGACCACGCCCCTCACCCACCCTTCAGCGGCGAATCCGGCTGCACCACGCCCATGTTCCGCCCCGCGCTCAAACGCTCCATCTATATCCCACCTCCCTGTGGCCCGTCCATCTCTGACAGTCCCTTAACCCACCCAATGCAATAAATTCCCACTTCTCAGTACTCTTACACATAACTCCCCCCTCCATTTTCCTAGCTGCCACGCCCCGCACCTACCCTTTAAATCCTGGTAGCGTTAATCTCTAGACCCCGCCTCCCCCTTCTCCCCGCGGTCGGGATACGTGTCTTTTGCGCCCTCTGCTGGCCGTATTCTCCGCTCCTTCCGAGCTCTGTAGAGATAACTCTCATCCAGAGTTAGGAAGGTTTGTTTGTTTCACTTGCTTTCAGGCGTTCCCCGCCCCCTACTTTGCCAAGCACTCTGCCCTTTCTGCACAAAAGGACTTGGACGGGAACGCCCTCAACCACCAAACCTATACTCCTACCTGCTGCTGCTCCACCCTCCGCCCTCCAGACCAGGAAGGTGTAGGTCTCTACTGCTTCAACAATGATCTACCCTAGAGCTCCCCTCCCACCTCTGCTGCAGTCAGGCAAGTCTAAAATTGTTTTGGTTACTGGTGCGTCAACTTCTTACCACCCTCATCTGCTTCTGTTAGGTCTCTCTTTGCACAGACGGTTTAAATGTAGGACTCTACATCTAAATGAGTGAGAATATATGGACTGCCTAGGACGTAAGGGTAATATTTTATGTATTTTATTTAATTCTCATGCTACCCTTCTTGGGGATAAATGCTATTGAGGAAGTAACAGTGGCCTTGTAGAAGTCGGAGGGAAAGGGCAGCTCAAATGTGTGGCTGATTCATACTTTAAGGACTGCAGTCATCACACTTTTTCAGACAGCTTTCCCTGGCTTCAGATCTTGATGGAGAAGAAGGGTCTGTCCCCAGCAGCTCTGCCTCTCTGTCAGTGGGCTGTAGGCAGAGCTCAGCCTCCTTGGGAACAGAGGACAAACTCCTTCAGCACTGTTATGTGGAAGCCCTATTCCTCCTACGCTCGCCTCATAAGCAGCTAAGGTCAATGGTGCTGGCTTTACCCAACCATATCAGCACTCAGGCACTCAGACAGCAGTGACTGGATGTGGAGAGGGCAGAATGCTGGCTGCAGGATAGAGGAGGGCAGCTTTTAGCAGGACCCTAGGAGCACTTGTCGCTCACACAACCTCAGGGTAAGAAGCTATTTGTCTTTCTTCTGGACCACCCATTTGTGTGTAGGAAGTCTCAGGTGAGGAGGCCACCCTTCTGAGCTGAGATCAGCCTTCTCCTGCCATTCCTTTACCCAATTTTATCTCAGTTCTGCCTCAAAGGCTGTAAGTGGTAAATCTTGTCCTCACCATTGGCAAATTAGTGAGCAAGGAAGAGATCCCTGCCAGGTCTGTGCTCTCTGCCTTGCTTGGTGATAATGAATAAACCTCCATGCTTCTCTGGGCCTCAGCTGCCTTGTCTGAAAAGTAAGGAGTTGGGTCAGGTTTCCC